TCGCAGTACCTGTAAGGCAGAACACCCAGCTCGCGATGGGCAGTTCACACCAAGGGCAAATAGTCCCTACCGGGCCTCACGCCCAACTGAGAGACTCTGCTCCATCTGCCCGAAAAATCGTCAAGAGTGACGGGCCATCTAGAAGGGTCAAAAGGGAGTCTCTCCCCTCGAGTGCAACACTTAGGTGACTGGCCATCGAGAAAAGGCCGGGCGCATATATAAACAAAAGGCGGGCAAATTCACCAGCTAAGTCACAACCACTTATGGGCACTCCTCGAGCCCATAACTTAGGCTAATTTTTATGCAAAAATATAAAAATCAAGCACGGGCAAACAATCAAATTTGAAACAGCATTCATTCAAAAAACGCCCGAAGGCAACAAAGAAAATGAGTATAAACCGACCAAGAAGGCCGGCGATGTTCGTGAAGTACAACCAACGGGCACGCAGGCCCAAAAAATACAAACAAATATCAAACGCACGCAGGCCCATCATCCTACAATCCAGTTTCCCCGAAACCATCATTGTCGACAACAGGAGAGTCGGGCGGGGGCACGATCGCGCCATCCACGATCTGATACATGTAGCCCGTCCCTTCAGTGATGAAACTAGGATTTAGCAAGGAAAGCTGGCTGACTGCAGAGTCGAACCCCTCCTCCATAGCACCGACGCAATCTGCTTCGAGGAGCCGGATATGGGCGACCAACTCTGATCGACTCTTCAAAGCAGCTATATCCTCCGGCTCGTCCTCGGCAGGAAGCATCGCGACTTTTAGGTCCTCGATCTGTTGGGTTAGGCGCCCGATGTCGGTCTCCAGACGCTCCCGGTCCGCACGGAGAAGCTCTCCCTCCTCGGCTAGCTTCCCCGAGTTTTCCTTCTCCAGAATCAGCATCTCCCTCTCGGCAGCCAGCAGCGATGCCTGTTCGCGGAACATCTCCTTGGAGCGTTCCAGGGCAGTCCTTAATTTGCGCGAACTCGAGGTGAGGGCCGCTTTCTCCTGTTCCAATGCTTCAATGCGGACAGGATCCTCCCCTTCCTCAGACAGCACAACGACCATTTCGGCCATTTTCACAAGCCCGACCATATTGGCGGCCAGGTGCCTCCTCCGATCCTCCTTACTCATCTTCCTGATAGTCTCGGCCTCGTCGGCAACCACAGACAAAGGGAATCCCTCGAAGAAACCCTCCTCTTTGAAGCAAGGGGGCAACCCGAAGGACCTTACGGCGCTGGAATCCTCGCCGACCGCCGGCCCACTCTCCACCCGGTTCCTTTTTCTTTGTATCAGGTCGGCATGTGGCTCGACCTCTTGAACCTCTGGGATCTCTTCCGACGCAGCTCCCGAGCTGGGCGACGAATCCACCCTCACCACATGAGGAGCGCCCTGACTATGCGGCGGGCCCATCCTCGTTGCTTGGGGAGCCTTCACAACCCTCCTGCCCCGCTTCTGGTCACAAGACAGCTTCAAGAGTCTTTCCCGTCGCCCGACCATCGAACCTGCACAAAATAAAAACCGGGTTAGTGTCGAGCAAATACGCAAACAAATGACAAGCAAAGAAACTCAAGCAATAAACGACCTAGCAGACGAGCAACCTGCCTGAATGACTGGAACTCCACGAGTGCCTTAGTATCGATCGGTCGGGCCTCGAATGTCGGATAACCCTCCTCGTCCAGGACATCTTCCCCCTCCCTCGTGGCCTACCTGGCGGGGTGGAAGCTGTCAACGAACCGACAAAGAGTGTCGTAAGCTTTCTCATCCTCGGAACCCATGTCGCCCGCAGAAGTATGATAATACCCAGTTCCGTGCTCGTAATGTCTAAACATCCAATGCACGGGGAACTTGGCCGTGCGTGCCATCACGGGATACCCGTCGTTGTCTAAAATCGCCTCCCCGTCATCGTCGCTTATCGGCGCTTCCTCCTTGTACAGGGATTCTAAAGCGGCCATGGTAACCGGCCTCACGACATACCACTTGTCTTTAAAACCCCGCACGGAGTCCATATACATCTTGAATAGTCTCTTCGACTGCTTCAGGGAGACCCAGCTGTGCTTCCCTCCCCGAGACTGGCGCTGCAGATGAAAGATTCTGAAGAAGAGAGGTATAGTCGCCCCAACCCTCAGAAAGCGACATGTCAGCTCAAACACCCAGATAAAGGCGAGCGAATTCGGGTGTAGCTGCGACGGGGCCAGCCCTAGATGAGCGAAGACCCCGGCCTGAAAGTCGCTGAAAGGCAGCTGCAGCCCGAGGTCTTTGAATGCAATCTCGTACATGGGGAAACTGTACTCGGGGTACACCGAGCAAATCCGAGCAGTGGAGGTCGGTCGCGTAACGACGAAATTCTTTTGAAAATCAGGCTGACCGTGGCTCGCCTCAAGGACAGCATATGGCTTTCGATTACGCCGGCTATAGATTGAGGCGATTCCTCTAGGCTCGACGCCCACCCAGTCCAACAGAGGGTCTTCGACAGTGTCGATCAAACTCACCGCCTCATCGGCACATTGTTCCTCGCTTTCTGGGCGTCCAGAAGAGCACGGCTCGTCCGCCATGGTTACCTGCAGAGCACGGGAAACCAGTCAATTGGGCACGAAACCATACGCTCGACGTAACGTACCAGATGTAGTGCGCGACAAACCACGTCGCTCCACGCGCGACCATAAAGTTAGTTTGAAACAAAATAGCAGTCGCCTCCCCGACGTCCAGATAACTCGATGGGACCTTCTCCAAGCCGCCTAAGCAAACCGACAACGCGGTCACTCACGAATATGCCGACCCAAGGTATGAACATGGCGAGCAACATCATAAAACCTACAGCCAGAGCCATGAACATACCGGGCACGATCATGAATCAGGCGCCCTGGATCATGAAGACACCCCGGGCAGCACTGCAGATTATAACCTAAACCATGTATCTACCGGCCACGAGCATGCGTTTGCCGGTCCTAAGCATGAATTTGTCGAGCTAAACATGAATTTACCGGGCTAGTCCCACGCGCACAGTCCCTAAAACGTCTACAACGATGAAGATCATGCATCACAACAGAAAAACAGAGAGGATAAGTCACTTACTTGGAATCAAGGAGTGGATTCGGCAACGGAGGAAAGAAATCTGTGACAGAGATCGCGGCGGTGCTATGAGAATCCGGAAGAACAACAGCAGCAGAAGCGCGAAGAGTAGTAACACGTTATGGGGCCCAAGGATCCCATTTATAGTGATGACGTGGAATACCAAACGTCGCCTCGGGCAACCACAGAGTTCCTCTCCTCGACGCACGGCTCCAAAGGCAATAACGACCCTATCCTCATAGGGTGGCGGCACAGCTCCCAAAAGATACCTCGCGCGCTCGACAGACGCGCACCGATTGAGGAATCCCCGAGCACTCTCCGCGAGGAGCACCCCACGAGGAGCTGCGTCTTTGACCCGGGCATGAGGCCCCGAAACGGAAGCAACCTAAGATCAAGCCATGGCTCCTAACCCAAGGAACCACAACTTGGGGGGCTCCTGTTCTGGACTGGGCCCGACTGGCCCAATAGCATTGATAAGGCCCAATCCAAACGGACTTGCTGAGGGCCACGCCGACTAAAGGGTCACAGTCGTGCCCGACGTGCTCCCTGAGGCTACTTGCTCGACCTCCCGCTGTCCAGCTCGACCTCATACTGTCCAGCTCGACATCATCCCGAACACCCCTCCTAGGGCAGACTCAGTCCACTGCGCTCTCAACGGGACTCCGAAAAGACCGCGTCTCTGTCCGTCTGTACTTCACGCAGAACATCCAGGGAGGGGACCACGTGCGGGTCCCCACTACGCACGTAGAACCTAGCAGTTCCTCCATTGGGCCAAACCTGCCCGGCCCAATGAAGGAACCTTGGCCCAGCGCTGGGGGCTATAAATACCCTCTGTTTCCAGAGGGTCAGGTATTCATCATTCTACCCATACTTACTATTGACTGCTCGTGCTCTTACTTACTTCAGCATCGGAGTGTCTTGCAGGTACCCCCCCCCCCCCCCCCCCCCCCCCCACCTCGTTCAAAACTTTCAGCTCGAAGCCAGCCGTGACGGTCCAAGTCTGATCAGGTTAGATCAAAAACCACTATCAAAAGAGGTATTCGACAGAGGCAAGAAGATGATAGGAATGCTGGATGGAAGAAACATTTAAGTTTACAGAGGAGTTTTGTTGAATAAACATTAAATGTGTTAGTAATAAAGTTTTACATTAAACATGGTAGTATGAAGAACAAAAGTTTTAGTAAGTTATTAGTAACAATTATGTTTTAGTTTATGTTTTAGAATTGTAAAAGTTATTTAGGTCTATAAAAGATCAAGAGTGTATTTTATTTTATAAGAGCAATATAGAAGAATTCATATAGAAGCCTGATTATTTTATAACACATATAAATTAACATTACCCTCCAACGAAAAGTAACCCCAAAATTGTATATAAATTACGTTACTTTATACTACTTAAAATACAAACTACACCTACACGCATAAATCTACACATTCTACACAAGTGGATGCTAAAAAAGATACCCAATGCCATTAAGATTTATCATGCACAAACTTCATGAAATGAATTAAAAATTTTGAAAAATTATGCACAAGTGCATGCATGGTCCCCACGTTTCCACTCACCATAGCAAACAGAACACGCAATCCTTGTTTATGTCTCTCGTGCATGAGTCGGTAATCTAGACATAGAACACGTTCAAATAATCCCTGTAAATTTTTTTGGATCTATTCGACTATTCAACAAACCAATAAAAGCGTATTGATATTTAGCTATCTTTCTACTACCACTATCATCAAACCTCAACCATTCAATCATTGTATCTTGTATTATAAATTAGTGTCTTTGGTTCTTTAGCTCAAACCACCAAAAACCAAACACTTAACATATAAGCTTCTTTTCTTGACCTTGAGAAGAGAATACACAAAAAGATTGAAGCTATATATAGAGAGAGTCATAGTTGATAGGAAAGAATAGAGTAAGTTATAGTTGTGAGAAAATGAGTGAAGAGAATAACAAAACAAATCATTATGAATCTAATGGTTTATATTCTTCAACAAAAGAAAAGGAACAAAACAATGAAAAACTTGGCAACAAGAAGCCTGGAGGATGGAAGGCCATGCCTTTTATTTTAGGTCAGATATTTCTATTTTTCTATCTATCTATTTATCTATCTATTTTAAAATATTTTCGATGGTATCACTTCGTAGTAAAATAGTTGATTTCAACCATTGAGTCTAAGTTCAATGATGAACATTATCTATATGTAATGTGAATCCATCGATCTTAAATCAATGGTCCAGATCAATTAATGCATGCAACCGCGGTGTACGGTTGCATTAAATATTTCCAACCTTCCATACTCATTTGAAAACAAATTTTGTTGATGATATAGGAAATGAAACATTTGAGAGATTAGCAGCATTTGGATTATTTGCTAATTTTATGGTGTATTTAACAAGAGAGTTTCATTTGGACCAAGTTCATGCTTCAAACATTCTTAATATGTGGAGTGGTATTACCAACTTTGCCCCTTTACTTGGAGCCTTCATTTCAGATACCTACACAGGTCGCTTCAAAGCTATAGCTTTTGGTTCCTTCTTCTCATTTCTGGTGAGAATTATATTCTTTCATCCTAATCCATATATTTTTATAAAATTTATTATATTAACTTTTAGTATAAATATAATATGATTATCATTAAAGTGTGTTTTAACGCTTCAATATCTTTAAAAATACTGGGATTTATTATTGTAAGTAATAATGTAATTGACTCTTTTTTCTTTTACTTACTAAATTTTAATTGACTCTTGAGACTTGGAGAAGATATATATAGATAGATGTAGTTGCAGGCCATTTCTTAGTTCTGAAGAAGCCACCTAATATATTGATAATGGAAAACAATAATAAATTATATATTCTCTTAAAAAAAAGAAATATTTTTTAAATATTATTAATTCAATGAATCAGCTCTCTTGATATGTATGACTCGTACCATATTGTAGTTTTATGATATCTTTAGTTACCAATATTTTTGTTTATTTTGATATTTTATTATATCATATTTTACTTTAGTTGCTATCATTTTAATTTTTTATAAAATTTTTAATTTGTAGTTATTGAAAGTCAGCCAATATTGACGGTATGACATAACAAATATTTGAAATAAATATTTAAATATTTATTTTAATTTAAATTTGATTATATACTTCACATTCACATGCAAGATGAAATATTGAATATCAAGGTTCATTAAATGATGCCGATTTCATGATAAGAAAAAGACGAGATGAAATAAATGCAAATTGGCTGAGTTATTTTCATATCTTCGTGTCCGACCAATAATGCACCATAGTGATAATAATAGACTTGAAAACAGTACAAAAATAATATTGGACCACATGCACGTAATAATTCATAATTTAATATAGTAAAAAAAGTAGTACAAGTAACACTATCCTTAAATTTTTAAAATACGAGGATAATAAAAAAATCCAGATAGTGGAATTCACAGTTTGATTCAGCTAAGATTGCTCATAAATCTTTTAATACATTTATTTTCTAAAGTGATATCATCATCTTTGTGTTTTTTATAGTACTTTTTTGTTGTCTTTTTTCACTTTATATTTTGTTGTCTTTTTTTTTTTTAAATAATTAAAAACTGTTGGAAATATAATATATATAACTTTTTTGTTTGTGGTAATAGGGTATGACAGTAGTGACATTAACAGCATGGTTACCAGAGTTACACCCTCCATCATGTTCACCTCAACAACAAGCATTAAACCAATGTGTTAAAGCTTCAAATTCTCATGTTGGTTTTCTATTCATGGGACTTATATTTCTAAGCATAGGTTCTTCAGGTATAAGACCATGTAGCATACCTTTTGGAGTTGACCAATTTGACCCTACAACAGAAGAAGGAAAAAAAGGAATCAATAGTTTTTTCAATTGGTACTATACTTCATTTACTGTGGTCTTGTTGATCACTCAAACTGTGATTGTTTATATCCAAGACTCTGTTAGTTGGAAATTTGGTTTTGGTATACCAACTTTGTGTATGTTATGTTCCATAATCTTGTTCTTTGTTGGAACAAAGATTTATGTTCATGTGAAGCCAGAAGGAAGCATTTTTTCCAGTATTGCACAAGTTTTTGTTGCTTCTTTTAGAAAGAGGAAAGTTAAGATTCCTAGTGAGAAGGTGGTCGATGGGATTTTTTATGATCCTCCATTGATTGGAAGTGCTATTTTGTCAAAGCTACCTTCAACTAACCAATTCAGGTAACACACCAACCTTCAATTATTTGATTTAGTTATACGTGAAATATTTTTCTTATGGGAATGGGATATCTAAAATGTGATTTTAGGTCTTTGATAAATATCATATTTTAGAAATGAATCCTACAACCTAACCTACTTAAAGTAATAATCTAACCTACATAAAGTAATAGGATCACTTGTATTATATCCGATAAAAGAGGGAATGTTATAGAGTGATTTAATATTTATGTTTGTCTTATTTTGGTCTTTCAATTATAGGGTTTTGGATAAAGGAGCTCTAATAATGGAGGGTGATTTAAACCTAGATGGAACCATAGTAGATCATTGGAATCTTGTGAGCATTCAACAAGTAGAAGAGGTAAAATGTTTAGCAAGAACTTTTCCAATTTGGGCCGCCGGAATCCTCGGTTTCACCGCGATGGCTCAAGTAGGAACATTTATTGTTTCACAAGCCATGAAAATGGACAGACACCTCGGCCCAAATTTCCAGATCCCGGCCGGTTCACTCGGGGTCGTATCGTTCATCATCATAGGTTTATGGGTCCCGTTCTACGACCGGGTTTGCGTACCAACCCTAAGAAAAATCACAAAACATGAAGGTGGTATAACTCTCCTCCAAAGAATTGGAATTGGCATGGTGTTTTCAATCATAGCAATGATTGTAGCTGGCTATGTTGAAAAAGTTAGAAGAGATGTAGCAAACTCCAATCCAAATCCACAAGGAATTGCACCCATGTCAGTAATGTGGCTATTCCCACAACTAATCTTGATGGGATTTTGTGAAGCATTCAACATAATTGGACTAATTGAATTCTTCAATAGACAATTTCCTGACCATATGAGAAGTATTGCTAATGCTTTGTTCTCTTGCTCATTTGCTTTGGCTAATTATGTTAGTAGCATTTTGGTCATAACAGTTCATAATGTCACTGGAACTCATAGCCATCCAGATTGGTTGACAAATGATATCAATGCTGGAAGATTAGATTACTTTTACTACCTTTTAGCTGGAGTTGGAGTTTTGAACTTGGGTTATTTTCTTTATGTTTCTCAAAGATATCATTATAAGGGAAGTGTTGATATTCAAGAGAAACAAACTCAAGATGTGGAGCTAGGTACAAAAGGAGAACTAGATTACTATACAAAAGAAGTATGAAGATTCTGAATAAATTATGTATAAATGTTCTTATCTTTTTGTTATAATTTTAGCTATGTAATATATAGTGTTATATTAATCAATCAGTTTCTTCTAGTCTTGGCCAAACTAATATAATCTCACATTATTTTAAGGTGAACACTTTGATAGAGTTTAGTTGAGTATCACTACCCTCGTTCAATCAAATACTATTATTCAATGCCATGTTGTTATTTACAATTGTTTTATTTAAAATAAATTCTAATTTTAAACCAAGTTCCACTAAAAATATCGGTACCCAATTACTTATTATTTTTAAGAATTTATCTTATTTTAATTACTTTATTGAAAGAACAATCATTTGAATATTTTTTTGACAAAATTGTAAGAGGTATTGGGATAAGGTGCAATCATTTGAAGTATTATAAGATATCACATCAATTCATGCGTTTAATGATTAAGCATAATATAATAAGTCAATTATGTTTCATGTCAATGCTTTGTCTTTCTAATTAAAAAGTCTCCCAAAAGAAAAATAAAACTTTAAGTGTATAGTTGTTCATATTGTAATGACCGATGCAATATAAAAATTAAGCAATTATTTGAATATGAATGCTCTCTGATTTAGAACATAATCTAGAGGAAATTAAAAAAATGAAGTCAAGGGTGGAGGACTATAACTAGAGGAAGAGGAAGAAATAATTACTATGAGATCGAGGTGCGCAAGGAGTGAAACAGCTAACACTACAACTTTCTTTTTCCCTTCAATAACTAGAGAAAAGGAAATGTATGAAGAAGAGTTATAGAGAAGTAGATGAGGTAGTTATTCCATCTAAGAGGAATGTTCGGAGAAAGAAGATATGGTTTTGTGAGATTTATTTTAGGTTAAGTATGCAAGAATGTTCGAGACCAAAACTAGATAATATATTTATAGGCAATCAAAAGATTTATGTAAATCTCCCAAGGTTCCAAACAAGACAAGATCTTGGTGATCGAAGGAACCAGCGTCTAAGAAATAAAGACAATGCAGAAACTTTCTAGATCAAGGAAAGATTTAATCACAGAAGCAACTATTCATATAGGTTTGAGGTTTTGGTGGAACCAGAAAATCATGGACGTATGCTAATGTACTTAAGAATAACATCAACCAATCTAATTCAAATTGCAACAATAATGTTAGGACAAGTCGACAATGAACAAACAAGTTCCCGTTTGCACATATGAAATTCAACAAAGATGACAAAGAAGAATGGCTTAGGTTTAAAAATCATACGTGGGGTAATAGAAAGTCCAAGTATGACATATAATATTCAAAAGATTTTTAATATGGAAGGATACTTTGCCATTAAAGCAACTCTGTTGGGTGTGAATATTTGTCTTCTTGAAGAAATGGAGGAGGGAGAGTTGTTAGACCTGGTGGAATTTAGAAGTTGTCGGTTAAAACAGGGCTTCAAGAAGATTGGGATATGGGACCCCAGGGATGTAGACAAGGAAAGAGTTACGTAGTTGAGGATTTATGGCATTCCATGTCATGCATGGAACCCAAAATTCTTCGAGTTCATCACAAAACTAGTTGGAGTCTACATGTGTTCTAATGTTGGCACGAGAGAGTAGGCAAAGATGGATGTTGCAAGGATATTTGTAAGAACCAAAGCTCTTTAGTTTTAAATGATGCTTTCAATGTAAAGATCAATGGCAATGTGTTAAGTTTGAAAGTGGCGGAGGACGCACATGGACCCTTGAGGATTTACATGCCCTCGAGATTGGCAAAATAATCTGGAGTAATTAGAATCAAATACATGCTCCGATGAGTGAATTGACGAAAATATGAGAGATTAGATTATGAGAAAGAAGATAATGATAAACTAGCTGACATTAGGGTTGGCGATGCATATATGGGAAACAACGGAAAAAGGTGCTTTAGTGGTGTTCTAAGATCTGGCCGACGAAAAAAGTTACATTAGGGAAAAGAAGGGACAAGTAAAGTCAGTGTGTGATGTGATTGGTGCAACAAAAGAAAATTTAACCAGGCAAAAAGAGGGAAATTCAAAATATGGGGCAGGGAAACATAGGAGGAAGACATACAACAACATGGCACAATGTTCAAAAGTGGTCCCTGTTAAGGGAAACTTAGGACCAAACAATCATGTTTTAGAAGGTCGCACTCCAAAGAAGTGGGTCTCCATTATTTTAACTTTGGGCCGGAGTTAAATACCCACCTTCCAATCCTAAAAGCCCAAGACGCAATTGGTCAAGATTCTCAAGATGGTGGAGCAGACAAAGAGTTAGAAATCTTCAAACCTTCTTACTTTTCTTCCCTAAGACCACCTAAACAAAATAAACTAAAAAATATTAGCAACATCGTCATCATCGAAATATGCAAATTCATATTCAAATAGATTCTCTAGAGATCAAACTTTGTGTTGTTAATCAACCACTACTTTGGATGTGTTACAAGGAAATAAAATATTTTTTGAGGGAAATAATTTTAAAGTTCCAATCAAATTATTGGAAAAGGTAGTAAAATTTGGGGGTAAAAGGAGTGGAGGATGATAATGCTCATGTGGAGGTGATCAATTGCTTGGAGATGAGGGACCAAGCAAAAATAGGCCAAAATGATGCAAATAAATCTGTTTCAACATGAATATCATGTCCTATAATATTCATGGGTGTGGCACCTCTATCAAAAGAAGGAGCTTGAGTTAGTCAATTTGATGTTTGTTTGTTTCATGAAACCTAACTTCAACAAATTCAAGATGACGGGGTTCATTCGCTTTAGGGTGGCAAAGAGGTGGAGTGGAAATATAAAGGTTCTTAGGGGAGATCATAAGGTCTTTTAATCATGTGGAAATCATGTATTTTTGTACTTAATTTCAGTTTTAAGGGAAAATGTTTTGTTGGGATCACTACTACAAAAATCACATTTAACCTCAATTGGATATGAGGTATTACATCGACTTCAAATGTGAGGTAACGAAGGACGTCATAAAAAGTGTGTCTCTTTACCTCTCGATTTTAACTCAACCTACGGGTAATATGTAAAGGTCATGGATTTGTACCCCAAGGAGATCCTTTTTGGAAATTATAAATGGAAAAAACATATTTCCCTTCGGATTTGACATTCAAGCGATGGGTATAACATCTTTAACCCCGGTTTTGACATTCCACCGACAGGTAAAACACGATTGTGTTTATTATATATAATGTGGAGTTTTTTTTTGTTTCACTAAACCCTAACTAAATATATAACTTCTCAAAATTGGTTAGAAAAATAATTATATGAACAATTGTGTTATATTTGAAAAACAACTTACACTAATCAATGATTTTCGAGCATCTTGTAACTCATGATTCATCTCACATTCTTTAATGATTAAAATCTATTCAATATTTCAAGTTCTTTATACATCACTTCCTTTTCTACTAATTCATTATTGAAATCATAAAATTGGCTGCTTTGAACTATGAAAAAATATGAAAGAAATTTGAACGAAAACTATAAGTATTGGATAGATTTTAACTATAAAAGAGCATGAGATGAATAATGAGTTGTAGATTGCTAGAAAAAAATAATCATTGTAAGATATGTTTCAAATACAACATGATTTTTTATATGCTTATTTCCAAAATCAATTTAATATGTTATATGTTCAAAAGGGGTTAGTGAAACAAAAAATTGACATTAGATATAATAAATTCAACTCGACGAAACAAGATGAGAGTTGCACAAACAATCACATAAATATAATATCAATCTCAAACTCAAACTCAATAATAACATCTAAATTACAACATATATATTTTTATAGCTTTGGGTAGTAGAACAACTAAACAATAACAACAATAATATCAACAACTCAAATATAACAACTAACATGGAACAACAACTCAAAAAAATAATATCTCAACAAAATTATAACAACATCATCAATAAACATAACATAAAATTGTTTAAACAACAACAAGATTAAACCTCTAGGGTTTCAATTCTCAACAATAACAACAATAATAAGAACAAAAATAAACAACAACAACGACAACCACAATGACAACAACGAAAATAAATACAATAACAAAAACAACAACATTAAAGTAACATGAGTAGTGATGTTTGAAGTGTGAAACCCCAAAATGATTAGATTATTTGTTTAATTATTTATTTAATTATTTAATTGTGAATATTGTAAGTATATGTGATGTTTTGATGTATGTGAAGTGATATTGGGTGTTTTAGTAATTTTAGATAATTAGTTTTGATTATTTAGAATTATTATTAAATAAATAAAATAATAAGAGGTAGAGACCATGAGGACAATGTAGTAATATTGTGAAGTAAGTGAGAGTAAGATGAGAAGATCATAGAAAGGGTCCAAGGGTTAAACAAGGAAAATGAGTGTCAGTGTTCATTCTGCGATTGTGAAGAGAGCTAGAGCACTGACGAACTCAGAAGATTCTGTAGAACGTGAAGAGAAATAGATTGCTGCTAGGAATCTAAGGTAAGAGGAGTTTATCATTGTTATTATAATTTATTTAAATCTTAGATAATTGTAGGGTTGCGTTGGGATTTTTGTTGATGATGTTAACATGATGATTTGAAAATAATTGGTGAAATTGTGATATTGTTTTACAATAAATTAATGTGTATGATGTATAATATAATGTGTTGGTATTGTATGATGAAAACATGAGTATTTGTGATGAATTAAGACTTATATTGAGATAGATTCGTATAGAAATTGGGACTGGTGCAGTGCTGAAAATGCACAGGAAATTCTATTTCGCGTTGCCTCGTCGGGCGAGTAGTATGCTTCGCCCGACGAAGGTGTCTCTCCCCTGATGCGCATTGCGAGAGCGAAGAGAGGAGAACTGGTGGGAAGGAAACAAAGCCCCTGGATTTTATATGGCAGATGATGTCTCTCCCTCGCTTTGTCGAGCGAGGCAGAAGCGAGAGTGAGCTCGTCGGGCAAGCGAATAGCTTCGTCCAACGAGGGTGACTGAAGAAAAACAAGCTATTGGATTTT